CATGTCCACACCACGTGAGAGGGAGAAAGGTCAGACGTGGCCTCCTGCAGAGAGGTTAAGTCTGCCACTAAATGAATGGAGGAAGATGTGTGTCTTGGAACTTTATGGATTTGGAAATTGTGGATACGGGATTAAGGGTCTGTAATACGCTTTTTTACTTAGGAGATAGCCGTCCCTGGAAAACTTGACCTTCAAGATCCACTCATTAACTATGGAAGAGTTAGTCTGACGCCGGCATAGTAGGACCGCGTCTGAGTTCCGTGTGATTCCTTTCTGTTCCACTGGTGTAGCTTTCTGGGTTTAGTGCTCTATTGTTTTGTACCAGTGCAGAGAAAAACAGCTAGTCTTCAGGAAGAAGTCTTCCACACTACACATATCCTGTTCACCCGAGGATTCTCCCACAAATTACAGACATCTCATTTGACCCCAGAAGAATTTCCTGGAAAAATTATTTCCTAGTTTTTTTTTTTTTAAAAGAAAACAAACACATTGTGGATTTTTTTGGTAATCCTCTCGAGTTTAATTTTTGCGTTCTTCAGTTTATGATATCTTGGTTGAACCTGCCGCTATTGTTGTTCACTGCGATAAATCCTCATTTAATACATTGCTAGAAATCTTTGTTTCTCCCAGTCGATCATTATAACGTCCCATGTCTTATGAGCCGTATGGACTGTAGAAGACTCACATTATCTGAAAAACAAACAAACAAAAAATCCTAAGTCAGAAATCACAGCATTGATTGACCCACCATCACTTTTTTCCACTGGCAACATGAATAAGTACCTAGGAGTTTTGAGTAAAGTCTAGTTACTATTAAAGATAAGAAGACTTGAATTTTATTCTCAGTTTAGCAATTGGCTCCCTAAGAGACCTTTTTGTGTTTTTCTAAAAATAGAATATGACCCAGGTGAACTGTTTTAAGGTGTTTTACACGTTGGCATTTATCACCTGCATTGTACTTTGGCGAAGATGTCAAAGGAGGAAACTGGCCACAGCCTCCTCTGCGGGTAGTGACCAGGTTTCCCGTTAGGGCAGTTTTCTGATTTTCTGCCACAGGGTTTGGACGTGGGACTGACAGGGCTGGACACCTCTAAGTTATTACAGATGTTTATAAACAGAGGAAAGGCAAATAGGACATTTCTGCATATTTGTCCTTGGGGAAGGATTAAGAGCCATGGATCCCTTCCAGAATATAATGGATTTGGACGGCTTCACGCCTTGGTAACTTCTTGTTATCCTTGCCTGTGTAACCCTTGCCCTGGAGGAGAACTTGAGAACCCACTGCAAGCTTCAGCAAGAAAACCCGAACCTGTGGCTGTCATCAGGGGAACTTGTTTGCCAACAAACTGAGGGGCTGGTGGGTAAAGCGATCTCTTCCTCTTGACTTCCTTCCTTCCCTAAATATACTTCTGAGCAGACCTGAACTTAAGTTTCAGCTCAGTAAAGGCCTTTCTCACAATTTCATTCAATAAAAGCATATTCAGTAAAAGTGCCTTTTAAATTTAAGGCAGTGCTCCAGGCGCTGACGAATCCATGAATCAAATCCCTTTTCTCAGGGAAGCTACCACGGAACAGGGAGAAGAGATCTCGAAATTCATCTCTGTGGACCCTCAAGTGTTTGGCGGACTGAATATTTGTTTACTCTATGCCTTAATAGCATGTGAGTCAAAATTCCAACCCCTACTTGGGATTGGAATGGAATTTTCCCAATTACCAGGAGCTTACCTGTTTGAAAACTGCCAGTGGCTGTCCCAGTTGCCTGCTGGAACAACGTGAACCCTCTCAGTCTGGCATTGAAGATCCTCAAAATTCCTTGCCTGACCTGCCCTTTTTGGTATATGGGTCATGCCATCCCACTCCAGCCGAGTTCTTCAATTCAGGTTATGTGGACTCCATGACTCTCTGTCCCACTTGGTAGAAAAGTGATATTCTTATCCTTTTCTTCACACAGTCTCCTCCAAAGCCTGTTCTTACCCCAGAACCCAAAGGGGCCTTTTCATCCTCTGAACTTTCAAATGTGTTGCTGGAATTGACACGATTCAACCCTGCTCCTGGGGTCAGATAACTTTGTAGGTATACCTGTCGCCTCTCCGGCCAAATCGTGAGCACCTTTCGGATGAGAACAATGTCTTGTCATTTTTGTGTCCCCTACAGCACTTGCCATATAATAGCAGGAGCTCCACCAATAACTTCAGCTTATTGGTCATTAATTGATACGTCCTTGGATGTATTGATTCAGACAATTAAACTTTGAGCTTTTCTTTCTGGTTGGTCGTTTGAAACCAGGACTCGCAAACATCACTGTCGTTGTTTCTTTTTTTTTAGTGTGTGTGTGTGTGTGTGTGTGTGTGTGTGTGTGTACGTAAGAGACAGGGTCTTGCTCTTTCTTTTTTCCCTCCTTTTTTTTAAGAGACTATGTCGCATCCAGGCTGGAATGCAGTAGTGCCATCACAGCTCACTGCAGCCTTGAACTCCTGGGTTCAAGAGATTGAGTAGTTCTAGCTATTCAACCATCCAAGTAGCTAGACCTACAGGTGCACACCATCATGCCTGGCTAAGTTTTAAAAAAACTTTCTGGGGCAGGGCGTGGTGGTTCACACCTGTCATACCAGCAATTTGGGAGGTGGAGGCAAGAGGATTGCCTTAGCCCCGGGTTTGAGACCAGCCCGGGCAACTTGGCAAGACCTCCTCTCTACAATAAATAAATTTTTAAAAATTAGCTGGGTGTGGTGGTACGCACCTCTGGTTCCAACTACTTAGAAGGCTGAAGTGGAAGGATCACCTGAGCCCAGCAGGTCAAGGCTATGGTGGCCGTGAGTGTGCCACTGCACTCCAGTCTGGGCGACAGAGTGAGACTCCGACTCGAATGAATGAATGAATAAATAAATAAATAAAAACTTTTTGTAGAGACAAGGTCTTACTCTGTTGCCCAGGCTGGTCTTGAACTCCTGGCCTCAAGTGATCCTCCCACCTTGGCCTCCCAAAGTCCTGGGATGACAGACAAGAGCCTGCCCACCATCATGATTTCTTAGTACACTTGGAAAAGTCCCTTTCTGGGAGCATCTCTAACATCACCATATTTGCCACTGCACAGATGAGCTGAAAGCATTGGTATGGTTTTGCCCTGTGACGCTGGCATCCAGTGGTGAAGTTGCCGAATCCATAGCCCTGGGCTTTGCATATCCTGCTGGGGACACAGGGAAGGACACGTCCCCCAGTTGGCAGCGTGGGTATCGGGCTGTCTGCCATGCAGACAACTCAGGGCCTCCCCCTGTGGAAGCATTCTTCCTCCCTTCCTTTGTCTTGATTGATTGCAGTCTTGTCTCCTTGCTTTTTGCATGGCACAACCCAGCATCCTGGTGGCCAGTGTTTGCCTCGTTTTGTATGAGCAACCCAGAAGCTGCTGGCAGAGGCTAGGTCGGAACTGGGAATGGAAGGCAGGGCCCCGCCAGAGAGACCCTTGCAACTCCCGCCGACCTCCTGCAGAGTTTCTTGCGTGGACCTGTGTGGGAACATGCTCTTTGAATACTAGAACCATCCCGAAGTGGATTCATTGCTCTGCGGGTCGTGAGTGGGTGCGGAGTTCGCAGATGGCCCGGCCCCGGGCGGGGCGTGCGGGCCTAACTGAGTGTGGAGAGAGGCATCAAGCATCTGAAAAAGGCTGGTTGGATTTGGGGAGTTTAAAGCGGCTTCCAAACTTGAGCACTCCTGAGTCTACCGAAAAGGAATCACAGGTCCCAGGACCAGATGTGTAAAACCGCCTAAGGGTAGAGGGTGAGTCATTCCTGTCCAAAATGCTTGGGAAGGTTGGCCCTGTGGCTTATGCCTGTCATCCCAGCACTTTGGGAGGCCAAGGCGGGAGAATTACTTGAACCCAGGATTTTGAGACCAGCCTGGGCAACATACTGAGCCCTCTTTACAAATTAAAAATAAATAAATATATAACCAGGTATGGAGACAAGCACCTATAATCCCAGCTTCTGGGGAGGCTGAGGTGGAAGGATTGCTTGAGCCCAGGAGGTCCAGGCTGCTGTAAGCTGTAATCGTTCCATTGCACTCCAACCTAGGAAACAGAGTGAGACTTTGTAAAAAAAAAAAAAAAAAATTAAAAAACAAAACAAACTTGGGAGCAGAAGTGTTTTGGACTGTGGGGTTTGTTGGGGGACTTTAGGGGAGACTTGGAATATTTGCATTATATACTTGTGGATTTCATATTTTCAAATATGGGATACTCAGCCTGTACCAGACAATCCATTTCACGCTTTCTAAGTAATCAGAAGTGGTTGAAACTCTCTAATCTGAACATCTGAAATCCGAAACTTTTTGAGTGTGACACTCACAGGAAATGCACATTGAAGCTCTTTGAATTTCAGATTTTCAGATTTCGGGATGCCCAACTGGTAGGTGTACAACACACTTATTCCAAAATGCAGAAAAAGAATTCGTAATCTGAAACCTTTCTGCTCCCAAACATTTCAGATAAAGGAGACCCAACCTGTATTTATTTATCCACCACATTTCAGAAAAGAGTTTCCAGTGTGTGTTCAACCTTAGCAAAGAAACTCGGCATAGTCCAGGAGTGGAGCAAACAGCCCTCCAGGAGAAAACAGTGGTGTCACTTATCCAGGAGCCCTGGGGGCCTGACAGCGGGTCACTGGGGAGCTTCTCCCAGGATCCTCCCCCAGGGGGACCCTAGGGGCCCTGTGACTCAGGGCACTCCGTCTGTGCGCCTCTGGGAGAACAGGGCTTGGAGAGGGACCCGGGCCGCCTTTGAGAGTCCGCCCTGCTCTCTGTACCGCGAGAGAAAGCTGCTTGGCTAGGTGCATTGTACATCCTAGTCATCTGTTGAGTAAAGAAATAAAAAGAGATCACCCTGTTCTCCAGCCACTTTTCATTAAATCAGGGAGCATGTGTCGGGTCTCTCAGACAAGGCAGCGAGCAACAGATAGTGTGGCCATTTGCTCAGTGGGTGAGTACATTTCTGGGCTTCTCTCTTTCAGCAATGAGGCTGTGAGGAGCGACTTGAAGAAGCTGCCGGCCCTTCCCACCCAAGCCCTGAAGGAGCACCCTTCCCTGGCCTACTGGTAAGACCTTGGAGGGGCCTCAGTCCTTCCCACCCAAGCCCTGAGGGAGCACCCTTCCCTGGCCTACTGGGAAGACCCTTAGGGTCTCAGCCCTTCCCACTCACTCCCCGAAGGGGCATCCTTCTCTGACCTACTGGTAAGAGCCCCCAGGGTCTTCCCCAGGAGCAAGCCCCTCCTGGGGGCTCAGGATCATCAAGTGTACCCTCCCTCCACCAGGACCCAAGCATCAGCCTAGACTTTCAGCTGAATCAAGTATCTTGTGTGTCCATGAAACCGTTTTCTGCATGTATTTCAATGATGTGCTGCGTATGAGACCTCTCCCTTTCTGTTTCTTGTATTTAAAGAAAAAAAAAAGCCTTCTAGAATTTCACTTGGGAAGCTTTGCCTGCTTCGAGAGCCTTTCATGTGCTGCTGGAGTTTCATCTTGGAACCCTGTCCTTTGATGACAGGATGTGTGAGGTTTTGAGATCTGGGAGAGCCATGGGGTTTTTTTTGGTTTTTGTTTTTTGTTTTCCAGAAGATACTGGATCTTTTCTTTGTCCCTAGTGTTTCG